GTGCGTGCGTGCGTGCGTGCGTGCGTGCGTGCGTGTGTGCGTGTGCGTGCGTGTGCGTGCGTGCGTGCGTGTGCGCGTGCGCGCGTTATTTAAAACGCGAGAAGAAATTTATACGTGACGTATCCTGGGGGCATCGATCGTCTAGGTGATATACCCTTACCTGTTTGTTGCCACGACAACATTAGATGCCGTAATTTAATACAAGGCCTGTAGTTGACATATTATAGTAGGAATGAGCGATATCATGTGGAATAGACAAACATGCTGTTGCATGGCGTGTAAAAGTTTCATTACAATATCGTTCTATGAGGTTAAATGCCAATATTGTCAAAAATGTTGATGATGATAAAAAGAACAACATTAATAATTATAACTATTCAAGGGAGGGGTACATTCTAGCGAGAATACATACTGGCGAGGGGTACATACTAGCAAGGGGTACATTCTAACGAAGACTACATTAATTCTAGCGAGGGGTATAATCTAGCGAGGGGTAAGTTCTAGCGAGAGGTATACTGTAGCGACGGGCTTTTATATGTCGCAGAATAACAAAGTATTGCAACTAGCAGTATGTACAGTAATATTTTATAGGAGTGCCCAAAATCGCACTGGGTAAGCTTCTAGTATATATTCGCGCCCATCCTTTGTGATGCCGATAGCGCAGGTGGTACGCATACATGCACAGATGGGCGACCCGCTAATATTATTGCACTGAAAGGGCGAGAACATTAGAGCAAATCCTCTTGACTAGCTTATTACGGCTTCTAACGATAAGCCGCCGCTAGATCACCGCATAATCCGCTTTCATCGTCTCAGCGTCTCATCGTCTCAGCGCATACATCTCACACCATCGGTTGAGCGGCGCACGCACACGCGTGAGCCCGTTATTCATCCATCTTCAGCGACTCCATCTACTTTCCGAAAACATAATGCGAATCTTAAATCATACACATTGTATGTGTTGTGGCCGTAGAGCACTTGATGCAAAACGATTTCACGAGATCTAAACTTGTTGACGCCAAAACAAGTACCGAGCGAAGAACGTTCATACAGCATCACCTGCACAACAAACGATCACACAGCATCACCTGCACGACAAACGATCACACAGCATCACCTGCACGACAAACGATCACACAGCATCACCTGCACGACAAACGATCATACAGCATCACCTGCACGACAAACGATCATACAGCATCACCTGCACGACAACCGTTCATACAGCATCACCGGCACGACAAACGTTGCACTGATATATATGCAATATCGTACAGGCTAAGGTTTTCAAATTCCATAAATTACAATAACTATGTCATTGATATGACTAAATACATTAGCGGCGTCTACACTATGCTAAAACCCGGGTTTACCGCATCTACACTGTTGCTAAAACGCGGGTTTTAGAGGTGGGTTTTGTAAAAACGCGGGTTTTACAGACCCGGCAATGTAGACGCCGCTAATATTGCCGGGTTTTGCTCTGCTAAAACCCGCGTTTTAGTCGAGCGCCGTAGTGTAGACAGAACATGACAGAAAACCCGCGTTTTAGCTATGTATCCCACCACTCAGTACTAGATGGGTGCCTCCATATACGTCCGTGTCTTCCATCACGCATTGACCCAATGATAGCGGCGTCTACACTATGCTAGAACCCGGGTTTACAGCATCTACACTGTTGCTATAACGCGGGTTTTAGAGGTGGGTTTTGTTTTGTTTTACTAAAACGCGGGTTTTAGAAACCCGGGTTTTAGTCTATAGTGTAGACGCCGCTGATGTGTAATCTCAATCGTAGATGTGTTGCCTGTCGTTGTCGAAACATTTTCAGCCGTCGCTGACGCCGTATCCTCGTTTGCCGTTGGTAATCTATTAACCGTCTTCTATTTCTCCCCATCAGCATCAAAAGTCTTAGCATCAGAAAAACTGCTAAGAATTGCATGACGAGAAGCTACCTTCTATAATAATCTAATAACTAATTTCATGAATTTCTGAATTCCCCAACTATCAAAAACGGCGCCCTCTACCGGATATGCTTGATACAACCGAAATACTTAAAACCCGGCATTCACGGAAGGTGGGGTTTTTTGACAGTGTAGACGCTGCACCACCGAAAACGCGGGTTTTACTAAAACGCGGGTTTTAAAAACCCGGGTTTTAGTCTATAGTGTAGACGCCGCTATAATGTACTCTTGATGCACACCATCTCTATTATGGACTCTTGATGCACACCTAGCACGATGCGGCTCATTGCAACATGTTCTGCTTGCATCTATGACAAATACGACATACGCATATACGCTCTCCTATGACACTATTTGTCATAGGAAGAATCTTCCTATGACAAATACGACATACGCATATACGCTCTCCTATGACACTATTTGTCATAGGAAGATTCTTCCTATGACAAATATTTTTTAACATGCGCGTTTCGCAATACATTTACATATTTATTCATGCGGTAATAATACCTGAGCTAATAATGCCATATAATAATGTATTAATAGCTCTTGATATATGGTATCGCAACATTTTCTGCTTTCATCTATGACAAATACGACATAAGCATATACGCTACACAATATTTGTCATAGGAAGAATCTTCCTATGACAAATAGTGTCATAGGAGAGCGTATATGCGTATGTTGTATTTGTCATAGATGCATGCAGAACAACCTCATTTGCAGGGCATAGAAGGTAAGGATGTGGAAGTGAATCCGTATATAACGATCATCGTGCTCGTTGCCGGCGTCGTCGGAGGACTCACCGTTGTCATCTGCGTCATCATCTTCTGCAAGTACTGCATCACGAACAAAAACGTACTGAAAAGGTAAAATTATTCTACAAGGTAGTAAAAAATGTAAAATTCTTCTAACGACGAATAGGCAAGACTCTTCCGAGGAAGCAAAGGTAACAATCCTGAAAGACATGAAAGGTAAGAGTCGTCGAAGGAAGACACGTAAAGCAGCATGCTCTACAAGTATTGCATCGCGAACAAAAACATACTAAAACGGAAATAATTTAAAATAGAAGTAAAAAACGGTAAGAATTCTAAATAGAAGAAGAAAGAACGGGAATGACGACGGGTAAGCGGCGAGTAATTTCATCGTTTAGGATAGTATCTGCTCATCACAATGTGAGCGGTTAGTTTTCTTACGACGAGGGCGACAATCACAGGCTCAGTTTACATGTGCGTGCGTGCGTGCGTGTGTTCGCGTGTGTGTGCACACTCGCGCGTGCGCGTGTGTGTGGCTCTCTCTCTCTTTCTTGTTCGTTTCAATGCACTACTGCGTGATTATGTGAGATATACGCCGCTTCAGTCTTTGCCTTCGCGTATTTTACTGAATTTGTGGTCTTTTTAATTTAAATGCTATGCAAATATTGCAATAAAGTAACATGGTTCAGCACTTGCTGTTTAGTAAAACTGTCATTGGATAGCAACATTACACAACTACGACATTCGGTGAGCGTGATTTAATTCCAAGCAAGTGAAGATTAGTTAGTAAGTTCAACGCTGCATCCATCTAATGCGCACTCATGCGTGGCGTTTGTGCGTGGCGTGTGTGAATGAGTGAGTCCCTGATGTCCGCGCGCCTGCGTATGGGTCGTTCGCGCATGTGAATTAGAGACAGCGGGTAGATAAGTGATATCGGAAGTCAAGCTGTCTCCTAGGTTTCTAAGCTTACCTAATTAGGTCACAGAAAAAGGGGTATAAAATGGGCCGAGGCGCGCTTAGAAAAAGTACCAGTGATTAATGTAACAACTCGTGCGTTTTTCGTGATTTTGCATGTAACACAAATACATTGCCAAAAATATCCCAAATGACCCACAATCATAATTTGTAAATGTTTCTGTAATACAGAAACGCACCTGTAAATTGAAGCTACGGATGTTATGTGACAGGATATATAGATCAAAAGCCTAGAATAGTCCTATATCCACCCAGTTATTAAAAGGGCTGTTATACCCCCTCTTATCTGATCTCAATATGGCGGGGGGACTTTCCTATGGCTTATTGCGAAATACAAAGTTGGCGTTTCCAACATTTCAGTGGAAAATGGACCTATACATGTTGTGCCACAATAATTATTTCCGCTTCAACACCATATAAATATTTTCGGTTGTTGCATGCGCGTAATTTACCATTTTAATAAACGTTTCTCTTCGTTTTGATCGGCTTGTGCAGATTCTCTCTGAAATGGAAGAAAGAAACATTGCGACTTTCAAGCGTCAAACGACCAACTCCGGCATGAATTGTGCGAATTTATAAAAAGGTTTTTTTTTTACCAAATTTCTACACGGTTTCTTTATTTAAGTTGTAGGATAAATTTTTTACATATTACACAGAAATACATTTTAACTGATAATCAATTCTTAAGAGTCCGAGAAAGCCTATAATATGCTATCTTGGCTGCCTATATGCCTGTTGTACAATGCGTTTTGTTTTACTTACTTGCTTCCATAGAGAACGGTCACGTGGTGAGGCTATCGAGTCGAGTGGTTAACCAAAGCCTCTGCTTGACTCAAGGTGAGATACCTCTCTGGAATCATAGCGACCATCGATGCGACGAGGAGAAAACACGGCTGGTTGCCTAGATGTCAAGCAAAATACAGTCTTAATTTGGCATATATTAATCGATCAAGGGGTTTCGTCTGGTAATTGTGTCAATGTTTTATAGTTTTTTAATTGTATTACTTAGCAATAAATTACCGTAACGGGAGAGTGACCGAAAAGAGACATGGCCATCCAATCAATCACAATCACAAAAATAACCGGAATGGCGTGAGGAAGCAATAAATAGACGGGGATGAAGTATTCAGCGTGAATGGCGTGTGCATGAGAAAGAGAGGAAGAGAAAAGAAGAGGGCGAAGAAAGGAGCAGAGAGTGCAATGGGAGGGCGAATAGCGGCAACAGATACATAGACAAATTGCCATAGAGAATAAAAAACATTGCGTGGAACGATGCTGTGTCAATGAGCTATGCACCCGTCTACCTGTAAACACACTCGCGCTATGATCGTTGATTCTATAGATAAAACATTCGACAATTTCGCACGTGAATATAAAAGCGTTTTGCTAGACTTTCACGAGGTTTTTTCATGTTTTGACTAACCATCTCTCAACTCTTTACTCGGAATTCTCTACGCCGTCTGTTTTATCCTCATTAGTCATGTAAACCGCAAAAAGATAAATGCCGATATTATTACATTCGCCGCACACCGCTTTAAGAGAAAATGGGTGTGGCGTTCAAAGCCGTGTCTGCGTTACGCGAAACCCAATTAATCTAATTAATTTTGAACGAAACTTCAATGCGCTGGTATTTCGTCAGCAGTACAATCGTTACAGTGTGTGATATATTACTGTAAGATTCTATAACGTGTATATATTACATGAGACATCGTTAGCACTCGTGGACGAGTGAGATAATGGTGTATATACGAACAAACATATTGATCGTTTTGATTTTGCTGCTGGTTACTAAATGCTCATTTTCCTGAGTGCATTTTATTGATTCGAACTATCAATAACAACTCTGATAGTATAGTTCACACACCAGCTCACCAACACACTGCGCTCGCGCGAGGCGCAACTAGAACTCGCCACG